CAGCACGCATACAGTGATTAGTATTCAATGCGAATGTCTTCTAGCGCAACTCAAAATTCTCAATTTTTGATTAATGAAGAAAGCATTTATCTGAATGATCTAAAACTAAAGTCCAAAATAGTATGGCTCTCTTTCTTTGTAGATTGAAATCAAATAACAATGATCGATTCAGTTTCGCTGCCCTGCTCTTTAACTACGCAAATTTCACCCATTCGCATCCAGTAGTGACTTTGCCATATGAGAGTAGTGCTGCTGGATAGGTAACGAACCGTATAGGTATGCCTCAAGCCAGAATCAGGCCATTTTTCAGTGCAGAATTGTCCACAAATTCCATCCACAACAATCACGTCCATATACATCGCATACGGAAGTGTGAAAACAATCGAAAGTGTCCACAGAATAACAGTGATCAACATTGAGCGCTGAAAAAGCAATTTTGCATTAGGCAAATAAATGCGCATCTCATACAGTTACAGTATCCATCATTGACAGACACATGAAGGTGATGTATTATATTTGTGTTCAATAATTAACGAATGTTCCCCTGTCTGAAACTTAAAATTTGAACTCAATAAGAAGGTGTAATTGAGCAAATTAGTGCCATTTACTTCCTCTTCGAGCACATTCTCTGCACTTCGTATAGGACAGACATATTCACTGATTAACGCAACCTATTGACTGCTTTCAATTTTTTTCTTTGAACAAGAGGAACNGAAAATTTTTTGTTTTAGCAATGGACAGTGAAAGAAAATGCGACTCTAAATTTGTTTCCGCCACTCGATTTGTCTTAATTTTTGATGGAAACTTCGGAAATGAACCGAAACTGTTTAAGGAGTGGTGCAATTAATCGAACGAGGAATTGAGAGAAACGTTTCGCATCGATGAAAAGTAACGATACTTACGGTTTTATTGATAATTTGAGCGGTTGGCATTTTTACCATAATATACCTGTCAATTGAAATAGCACATAGACTAAAGGTGCCAATGAAGACGGCAATTCCTTGCATCCACGGTAAGCCATGACACATGGTTGAGCCGAAATACCAGTTCTTATAGACATTTGTTATTGGTGTGATTGGCAACGAAAATATACACACAACAAGATCAGCACCAGCCAGATTCAATATGAACATATTCTGCAATGGAATTTGGAAGTGTGATCGTTCGATCGAACATAATCAAGTTCTTGAGTAATCTTCTCAAGACAGACACCTGAATTCGCATAATGAACTCTGTAGCTTGCATTAACTGNCATGATTCAGTGCATGCGATAAGGGGAACAAAACTGAATAGAGAAGAACGCTTGAATGAAGCACGTCAACATTAGGGTTTAGAGAACGATATTCGATAGTACCTGAACGGTTTGCAGTTTTCGATGCCTCAACGTCAGAAATATAACGAAAGCATTACCGATCACACCAAGCACAAATATCAGCGAATAAATGAGGCCAAATGAGATAACCACCTCGAGTTCCATTGACGGATCTCGGAACTCATCCTGGAATTTCGTGACACTTCACTGGGAATGAGTGAATCATTTCAACCGATCACACTAATGGAAAATCAACTCTGGCCAAATTATAGTCTGCCAAAATTAACACTTTTATTATTATCGCTAAACAAGTTGATCACCACTGATCTAATCTCAGTTCTGCTCATGGATTGCGGATTGATTGATTGCTCATTGTTCATTAATAATTCCGACGATTTTAATGGATGTTCAACGTGTCGCATAACTGGATCGATGCTAATGAATATTGCAATTTTTCAGGGCACACAGAGCTGGAACCTTTCAACGCTACAATTGTTTTTTGTGCTGAACGAATTTTTTTTTTGGTGATGAATTTAAATCGAATTCATTTTTGTGTTCGTCGATTTGTCGTGTCCATTTCGAGTTTTATTGTGCGTTCGTTCGTTTTTGTTTCATCCATTCGTTTATCTGATATGTAAGCGCTGAATGTAATCAGGCATCGTCACAACTCAGCGCTGCTGGCTCGCTTAACCACACACCGAGGAAAATTTAATTGAATTGAGCATTTGAACGAAAAACAAAAGAAAACGATGCCATTCCATGCCTTTTTTTTCGTGTGTTCAATAATTAAACCGTTGGGAATGTATTGCAATGCTGACAGCTGAGCAGTTTGTACTTTATGCGGACTCAACGTATAGGATGATGATTATAGTGATGCGAAAACGATCGCATTGCATCTAAAGTAATTTGAATTGAAACATGCAAACAGGACGGATTATAATACGATTCTTGTTAGCTTCTGCAAATGGTTCGCTTTCGTTACGTAATTCTAGCATTGAATCTGTCGAATCGACGTGTGATTAACAACCAATTTTATTGACGATGCGAATCTGCTTCATTTGAGAACATCGCATCAAGATCACGCAAATATCTCGTCAAAATTCACAGAACAAATATTATCGCTTACTTCTTTTTAACAATGTGCGTTTATTTCATTTACAGGTACGCTTATTTCACGATTTTGGCATTTTCAGGTTATTCACAGCGAAATTTTGTGCATTCATCTTTTACTTCCGTGCCGTTTGTTTTAGTTCACACGGATTTCTTTATCGTTTTCCAGTTTCACATCCCAACAATAATGAAAATTTTTGAAGAAAATGAGTGGGATGCGGAAAAAGATTACATTTAATGGGCTCAGAATGTTGATAGTGTCATTACTTCATGTTAGTTTTTGAAACAATAGGGAATGATGCTCATTTCTAAAGCTATACCCATTGTAACAACGCCATAGGTTATCATAACATTGTGAACAAATTAGCAATCGAACAAGCTCACGTACAGCAGTTTGGGCAAAATCAGAGCAAATTTAGTGAGGATTCACTTATTCGTGATACTTTCAAACAGATCACCTACTTAAAACACTCCACATTCCTGAAATGTATCCATGAACTGATAGCAGAGTGGCGAAAAACAACAGCAGCGATAAAGATCACTTCAACTTGCAACTTATCATCCCGACTGCACGCAGTAACCACAGCTGATCGGATTCTACCGAAACCATTAATCCAGTGACTTGGACGGAATGTTTTGCTATCGTCTTTGTTTAAATTGTTCAATTTCTACCTTACCATTAGTTTTGAGGTAGTTATTTTCATTCTTTTCCCCTCGTTTTACTTCATACAACGCAAATTGTAACACTCATATGTACTCGCGTTGCTCACTCAACTTAAACGTATTCATCAAAACGTCAAATGTCAATCAAATACTTCTTCACATTCTCAAACAGCACTCACAAATGACGTTTCACTGAGTAAACGAATGAGACGGAATCACATTGCCTTCAAGATGACATAGCTGTTCACATAATCGCCGCTTCAACCCGAGAATATCATCAAATAGCCAATTGTTACATAAATAAACAGTTTAGGTTTCGGTTTCTGAATCCGATTCAATAAATCACTACGACTAACTGAACAACCCAATTACACCATGTAACGTGTTCGTCTCTCTTCAACATCGTCGTAACTCATCATTTAACTTAGTGTTGTAACTTACAAACAACAGCTGATTAAAACTGCTTAGCAAAACGAAACTGTTTTGATGTTTCTTTCATTTATTCTTCGACATTCTCATGTTTCAAGAGCAGGTAACAGCTGAGCAACTTAATTATAGATGGATGGCTTCAGTTAAGATTTGTCATCAATCAACAGCGCTCGTGACATTCTGTCATCTTATGCTAAACATTTCTATCACATCAACATTCCGCTTGATCAGAATCACACTCAAAGTCGCTGACCTCATCATTTTCGTTTCACCGCTGTTTTCCTCACATTTATCGGTAGTTGGTACTAAACGCATGTTGCGATTTTAAACACCAATCACAAATAATGAGAAACAAGCCCTGATCGAGAGAATGTCAATCGACGATTGCCACTTGATCACAGAATCGATTGAACAACAGCAATGATCAATTAGCTTATATCAAGTGTCGTATTTGAATAAAGCCAAAATAACAATCGAATTTCATGGTAAAGATTCAATTTCATGTTGTTTGCTCATAACCGCAATGTTTTTCTCTCATGACGTTGTTGAAAGCATGTAATTATTGTCGTGCCTTTCGATGGCCGCTCATAAAACTCATATTAGTTTACAAATACACGCAAGCAAGTGAACGTCTGTCTACTTTGTGAACTCAGTTCGTGAGTGGGCTTAACCTCACTATCGGAGTTGGACGTACCCTCCGGCTAGAGTTTATAAAAAGCCTCAGAGAGGCTAACACTTATCCGCATTCTCCGTCTACTATGTACAGAAAGTTCCCATGCACTATTGTGAGCATTTCATAAGGATTTCATAAAACAGTTTCATATTGTCTATTCTTAAACATCGTGATCGTTGAGCTGTCAGAATATTGCCCTCTTCAAGATGTGAACAGTCCATTGAAAGGAGACACGACATCCACCTCATATTTCGGAATAAATAAAATAAGCAATACGAACGCATCAATCGCATTCCCAAGCGATTTTCAAAATATATCCTTCAGTTATCCCACAGGAAAAGTAGCAAAAGTAAAAATTTCAGTGTAGATATTGGATGTGCTGAGGCATAATATATGTTGATAACAACGTGATATTCTTGGTAAGACCGGACGATTCGAAATTGGAAATTTATCTATGAATATTTCATGCGTTTTCAACGAATGTCACTTAAAGCCAATAGCTTTCAAATCCCACGGTGAATACTGAATATTTATGGACAGTTATGTGTTTAATGTAGAATGTTGAAGGTATGGTTTCTTATAATCTTGTAAACTATGGTTTTTTGTAATCTTATAAGGTACGGTTTCTTGTAATTCAAGTTTTAATCACGAAATTTAACTAAGTGTTGAAGTACGGTAGGAATCACATTCAGATGGTGTGAAGCTGGCAAATAAAAGTAAAAAAAAAACACTTTATAATGTGCATACCGTATAAACTATACAATTGTCGTTTTGTGTTCTTGAAGTAGTTTGCATTTTGATAGGTTGAGCAATGGGGAAGTCTGCACTAAATACGATAGATATCAGCGATGAATATGCTTTTCTACAGGTGACGGCAACGATAAAGGCGTTATTTCAACATTTCGCTTGTCAGATAAAGCAAATTTGAATAGCGTTGAAAAGGATCTGAAAGCGATAAAACGATGAATATGATGCATTTGCAATTATGAATTAAATAAGCGATCGTATCAGTTCGTGACCAAACTGCTTCATGATATAATTGCACGAATAATCATTGATCAACATGAATTGGCAAAGAGATGCTCTATCGAAAGCATTTGATCAATAAGGATTCACGGAACGTCACATGCGACCGTAATGGAATATTAGTGAAGAGACAACAGCGATCAGCTGGAATTGCGGCGACACGATTCATGCAAATTCCAAACGCGATACATCACTATATAACAGCTTGAGTGAATTTCTCGTCAGGAAATTCACTTGTAGCTTCAGAAGAAGTTAGGGATGCGTTCAATGTCTTCAGAGTAAACTTGAAATATGTTCGGAACAAACTTAAAACGTCCGGTCATTTGAGATTCACTAGGTTGTCTATGGTTTGTAGTTAGACTGCGTTAGCTCGGCGTTTACTGATTCCACTAAATCAATGTGCACTGAAGGCGTGACTCAGAATGGGAGGAGGACTGTATGGCTGCTGAATGAACTCTCCGAGAGACGGCCAACTTGAATCTTTGAGCTGAAAATGTGAGGTGAGTCAGCCAGTCGATAGAGTGGGTTTGTTCGATGTGAAGAAAGAGTTTAAAAAGTGTTTGCATTCGTTCGCAACGAATCCAAATCAACGCTGAAACATTATTGGAACACACTCTCCTCAGTCAGTGCTCGTTTAACATTTCACCGAGACTGCAGAATGTCAAAACAGAAAATGTCTGTTTCGTTCAAGTTTGAGAATACATCAAAGTAAGATGATTAGCCTAATCACTATGCTTATCAACAACACTCATATATCAGTTTACGGACGTAATATATCCTTGCTGTGAATTTTTCAAGTGATCATAGGCTCGCTTGAGTCAACAGCTGAGAGTTGTATTAGACAAATTCTGTCAGAAAAAAGTGATAGCTTTGATCTTTTGACTTTTGATTTCGTTCAGTCAAACGCACTCTAAAACAGAAATATTTCCAGAAATTGATTTTGTTATGTTTCACATATTCACAGAGTATGAGATAAACGATATTGAAGTGGGCACAATGATTTGTAGAAAGGTACGGGATGTTTCAGAGGCGAGTTCGCTCACGTTTTGGGTTAAGCGTTGAATATGTTTCTGAGAGCAACGGTACTCTAAGGAAAGAAGTCACATTACAGTTTGGAACATTTTATGTGATCTGATGCTGTTCTGTGTCACCCTACGAGTTTCCATTCTGCATACTAACGAATTGTTATTTAAGATCTTTCGGTTCGGTGAGGAGTAAATTTTACTTCTTTTGGAAGATACGTTGACCGTTGAAGTCAACGAGTGCAAAATTGAATTAGAAAGCAGCCTCTTCTCAAGGA